GTATAAATTTTTAAAAATCAGTAAATTTATATATAAAAAAAACTAGAATATTTATAAAAAACTCCAATTTTTTTAACAAAAAAAAAAATCAACATTTTAGATGCATATATTTCATATTTTTTTCAAATGAATATATGCTTATTTCTTATACTATAATATTCGTACGTAAATCATAAAATAAAAAAAAAACTCATTTTTATAAATCAATCTATAAACATAATAGTACAAGTATTTTATTCGATACAAAAATAAAATATAAAAAATAAAAAAATGCTACGAAGATTCACAATGTTATCATTTCGTCATATCAAGATTTTCATATTTTCTTCAATTTATCACTTTTCACATGTTCTATATTTTCCACAAATTCTTTAAAATCTACAAGAAAATTAAAAAAATTGATTAATGTAAGAACACTCAAAAAAATGCACATGCATATATCATATAAGATTTACATGTGATTCACATGTGAATTACCTATGACTTACATGTGAATCACATGTAATTCATATGTGAATTACTTGTGAATTACATGTGAATTATATGTAAACTACATATGTTTCACATGTAACTCATATGTGATTCACATGTGAATTGCATGTAATTCATATGCGAATCACTTGTGATTTATTTGTGAATTATATGTAATTTACTTGTAATTTACATGTGAATCACATGTAATTCATATGCAATTTACTTGTGATATATTGCTAAAATGAAACAAATTAAAATAAACCATATGGTTAGAAAAATAAATAATTAATATAATTTACATGAGAATTACATGTAATTCACATGTAAATCACAAGTGATTCCATGTGAATCATAAGTGATTCACATATAAATCACAAGTGATTTATGAAGCTTAATATAGAAGCAATTAAAATAAACTATATGGTTAGAAAAAATAAATAATTAACATGATTTACATGTGAATTACATATAATTCACATGTAAATCACAAATGATTCACATGTGTCACAAGTGATTCACATGTAAATCTCTTTTTCATCATTATTTTTTTATATAAACTTTTTGATATTATGTGAGAATTACCTGAAATTTAAGAAATCTGCATGTGTAGAAAGTTGCCACAACTATAGCTTGATAGGAACCTGAATAGAAAATTTTGAATGATATTTCATATTTATGACACATCACACATACATTCTTCACAATCTGATTTGTATCTAATCTGTAAAAAATACATCAAGAACATAAAGTTTTTTACATAAATTATCATTGGAAAAATGAGTATTTGTTTCATAATCATATACAGGATTAAGACTATGACCATGCGAAATCTATTCACAATCAAGAGGAACAACTAAAGGCCTTTAAGTGATTTTAGACTCTGAATGTTTAGCAAGCAATGGAAGCCAACATGCATTGTACCTGAAATTAGTTTTTTTTCTTCAATAAATTATACGTTTTTGTTACTAAAAAAGTAATAATAAGTTGAGTTACCTATAGATTCCCCATTGTAATGTCTGGCCTTGATAAAGCAAACGATTTATGTCTACAACTGCAAGAAATTGCAGTTGAAGCTTATCAGCAGTCAAAAGATCTTCACTGATAAAGATACTTTCTGCTGCATTTCATTCAGATAAAAGTTATTTTCTAATAGTTAAAAAAGATTTCCCTAATTTGACATTATAACATCATCTTTACTGATTAGTTGGTCAGCAGTCAAACGATCTTCACTGATAAAGATACTTTCTGCTGCATTTCATTCAGATAAAAGTTAATTTCTAATAGTTAACAAAGATTTCCCTAATTTGGCATTATAACATCATCTTTACTGATTAGCTGGTCAGTAAAATCTTGCCAATCATTTGATTTGGAAATATCCTCAGGTGGCAGGTTACAAGAACCATAGTCAATGGGATGAAATTACCAATACAGAAGCACAATTAACAAACGTAAAGGGTGAAAACATTCTTTGAAGCATTTCAACAAACATGTTGTGTGCTAAAAACAAACAAAATATATTTTCCAACTCTGAACGGTTGAAAATCCATCTAGGTGAATGAAACTAATACGATATTCAAGATTATAGAAAGAAAATAGATAACAAGCAATGGTAGAACAAATGAAGAACACTTATGCTTTTCTCCTTCTGTTATCTAATCAGTAGTTGCACAACATATAGTTCTTAAGAGGAAGAACAGTATGATATTCTATCGATCATCAAAAAATTCCCTAATTCTTCTATTACTCCTTTTACAAAGGTGTTGGTTTCATCTAGTAGACTTCCAATACGCAGAAAGTAAAGCCAGTAGGTCAGATCGAAGCCAACATGATTGAATCATAAAATCAGAAATTGATATAGATACAAAGGTGTTTACCAAATCAGATTGATATGTAGGAGAAACATATTTGGTGATGAAGGCACAACGACAGAGAAAGAAGAGAGATCTCGATCGTAATGGAGTAGTCCGATGATGATAGAGAAACAAGGGAGAACGGATGTACAATAATGGCGGACAAACCGATTCAAAATCAAAGCATCTTCAGTGGAGTTTTTTCTATGAAGAACGTGAGAGCAATAAGTGTGGCGGTCAACAGAGGTAGAGGTGGTCGATGAAGGGAGGAGGGAGGCGATCGACGCGGATAATGGAGGAGGTTGGAGGCTATTCGACGGAGGTGAGTCGTCGGAGGATGCATCGTAGGTTTGAGCGAGAGAGGAGAACGGGTAGGAGAGTGAGATGAAAATTTATTTTATCAGACATTAGATTTAAGAAATCATTTAATTATACTTTTATTCTTATAATACCTTTGACTGAATTAATTAAGATACTCCTCCTCATATTTTTGTCTATTTATTTACAAAAACGCCACATTGCATCTCGATCTTTTTTTTTCTACCCAACGTTCCACCTTTAGTTTTCGGGTTCTCGGGAAACTTTGAGTTCTCAAATTATATATATATATATATATATATATATATATATATATATATATATATATATATATATATATATGTGGGAAAAGTGAATATACCCTTAAGGGTATATAAACTTAGGTACCCAAACCCATTATAATACGTCATTTTGTTTAATATATTCATTATAATGTTTTTAAACTTCAACCCTTGACTTGATTTACTTTCAATATTTTCGAAATTTCATTATTATATTCCTCTTACATCATATCTTTTTGCCAAACACCTACTAGACTATATATATTATAGTTGAAAACGAAAATTATGTAAGAGGAATATAAATGTGAAATTGATAAAAATTTTGGAAGTAAATCAAGTTAGAAGTTGAATTATAGGGATATTGAACAATTACAATGTATACATATGATACAAAACGATGTAGTATAGTTAGTTTGGGTAGCTAAGCTTATATACCCTTCAGGGTATATTCACTTTTCCATATATATATATATATATATATATATATATATATATATATATATATATATATATATATATATATATATATATATATATATATATATATATATATGGGTAAAGTGAATATACCTAACAACCTTATATAAGCTTAAGTACCTAACCATATCCTACTACATAATTTTGTATCATATTTGCATTGTAATAACCCAAAGTTCTTAAAATTCAACCTCATAACTTGATTGCTTCCAAAATCTTTGGACTTTCACCATTATCTTCCTTCAAATGACGTCTTTCTATCGGAGACCCCCTGGTGGGTTTCATATACTACCGTTACAAATCAAATGGTGTAGGAGGAATATAATGGTGAATGTCTGAAAATCTTGGAAGTAAATCAAGTTAAGAGTTGAAGTTTAAGAACCTTAGACGATTGCAATGGAAATATAATGCAAAACAATGTAGTATAATGTGGTTAGGTACCTAAGCTTATATAAGGTTGTTAGGTATATTCACTTTACCCTATATATATATATATATATATATATATATATATATATATATATATATATATATATATATATATATATATATATATATATATATATATATATACCTAAATGAGTGGAATAAGTTGACATTTTTTTAAAAATAATACCCACAACTACACCTAATAAAAGAAGGTACGCTTAAGAGGGGTCATTTATCATCTTCTTCACTAGAACTTCTCTCCCCGCATAACGTGAGTAGCATAGCATCTTTAATTCTATACAAATATGATGTACGAATGTAATATGAATATAAAAACTAAATATTATAATAAAAGTAAATTACACGAATGGTTTTCATGGTTTAGGTAATTTGCACGTTTGGTTCCTAATCTATTTTTTTTAACTTGGTAGGTTGTTATTGTTTGTTTTTATTACGCGTTTGGTTCCTATCTTACCTAAAAGAATATTTTGTCATTGATTTTTTAAATTATTTAAATAAACACACCCGCAACCCCACTCTCATCTTACCTTATCCACCCTATCATTTTCCCTTTTTAAATAAGAGTAAATTACTGAAATTATCCCTATGGTTTGGTCAAAATTGTACGTTTTGACCCTAATTTTTTTTAGCACTCGGATCGTCCTTGTGATTTAATTTTGTTGTATTTCGTCCCTTACATACATAAAGTTAGGGACCAAATATGTAACTTTAATCAAACCATAGGGACGAAAAACACAACAAAATTAAACAACAGAGACGATCAGAGTGCAAACAAAAAAAGTTAGGGACCAAACGTGCAATTTTAACCAAACCATACAAACGATTTCAGTAATTTACTCTTTAAATAATAGTCTTTTTAAGTAAGACATTAACCAAATGCGTAACAAAAACAAACAGTATGGACCAAACACGTAACAAAATCAAACATTATAGACCTTCCGAGTTAAAAAAATAAGTTAGGGACCAAACGTACAAATTACCCCAAATCTTATGAACCATTCATGTAGTTTACTCTTATAATAACTCAATTAAATTATATGGTTACTTCCGCTTAAAATAAATTAAGAAAATAAACAAATTCTCAATTTTCTTCAAAGTTTCTCATATAAACAACATTAGTTAACAACTTCCCAACATTATCACACGCATTATGAACACCACATTGGTCGACGTAGCACCACTACACACCGACAAACCTCCAGGAGGTGATGGCTACATATTCGTTGTTTCGTTCTTCTGCATCATCCTCTTATAATAATCATCACTTACACTTCTAACATTTGCAAGAGCCATATGTCACCAACATCCCCCAGCATCTCTTTCGGTGCCACCAGTACCACCTTCGACGAGGCTGACAACCATCATCTCAGAAAGCTTCTCTCGTGGCCTTGATGACGATGTCCTTGTGACTTTCCCCACGTTTCTTATTCCTCACAAGAGTGCTACTGATAGCTGTGACACAGACATCGATGTCACTCATTTGGGTTGCTCTATTTGTTTGGCAGATTATAAATCTACAGATGTTGTCAGGCAAGGACGACTCAACTAATTTGGGGGCTCTAAGCAAACAAAAAAATCGGGCCCCTTCAAGTAAGAAAACAGATTCGAACTTGAAACCCTTGGTTTTATAAACAATCATTTTTACCACTAGGTCAAGCTCCAACTTGTCTTTGTAATCCAAGAAATACGTATACATACATATATAATCAACATAATAAGCTTTAAAGTTGGAGGCCCTTTAGAATTGGGGGTTCTAAGCTCTTGCTTAGTTTTGCAAAGGGTAGAGTCGACCCTGTCGTCAGGTTGTTACTGAAATGCAGCCATTTATTTCATGTCAAGTGTATAGATATGTGGTTGAAGGCTCATCCTACTTGTCGAATGTGTTGGAAGGAGTTGACTAATTGATGTATGAGCAATATATGTACAAGTTAAACTTATAGTTCAAAATTTATTCACTTTTAGATTCTCTAGACCCTTTTTCACTTTTTTTTTTTTTTTTTTTTTTTTTTTTTTTTTTTTATATTAACAAACATGTTACCTCATTAGATCTTTAACTTGTAAATAGGGTGTCGTTGAAGGATTTCTTTTACTGAAGTGAAAAGTGTTTGAGAGTTTCTAATATAGGGATAAATAGTTTGCACTTTGTAGGCCAAATTTCTGTTGCAATTACCAACACCTATAACGATGGGAATAGCTTGACCTTGTGACAGATAAATTAACCTCGATTCTCGATAAATAGTAATTATTTTTTCTACGAACTTTCTCTGTCACTATAAATTCTATTGGTACAAAACTGATGATATTTTAAACTTTGGTCATTCTTTATTTTAATTGGTATCGTAATCCTATTTTAAACGATGAGTTTACCAGATTTGACACATTGAGGACAACAATGGAAACCAAAATCACTCTTTTACTCATAATCCTATTTTTTTTATTAATTTATATTTCTCTTTTTGGTTTTAAATTAATGTTTTATTTATTAGAAAATACACACCCAATACCATAAAGTCACCCACCAGTTGCCATCACCACCGCCAAAATTACATAAATGGTCCATATGGGTTACCCGTCGTCACAAATTCAGTCCCTACTACCTTAAAAGACCAAATTACACTCACATTAACGGACAAAAAACAACAGTCTATATGTTCTGCATTGGTTTTCCGGCCGCTGCCATACATGACAATAAAGTTCAATTTGTGAGACCATTTCTTTATTTTCCTCATTTATTCCAAGAAATAATGATTTAGATTTCTTTACTTATGTAATTAGATGACATTGTTTATCTTTCTTAACTAGATTATCTCAATGCAATTCAACATGCTACTTTATTTTACAAAGCAATACCTTCCGATCCCGGCAACGCCGGTGAATCTTTTATAGTTAAATTTACACTTAACTCCGTAAGAATTAGGTGACAAAGAATAGGACAGAAGTTGACGTTCCTATATAATTGGTTCGTTGATGAGAAGCTACATTTGGAGCAGCTTCAATTAAAATTCAAAATTAGAAAGACAAAAAACTGATATATATATATATATATATATATATATATATATATATATATAAGGAAAAAATTCAATAGAGAATCATAAACAAATGAACGAATTCAAAGCGTCGAAAATTAAATCGATAAACGGCAAAAAAAAAAAAGAAGGGTTGTTGACTTTTATAATAGACGCACATGCACCAGATTATAACAAAACCATTTTTTTTCATTAAAATTTATTTTAGGTCATGTTTTTATTGAAAAAAACCGAGTATACCGTTGTTTATGATTTTTCGTCCTCTTTCCAAAAAGATCCATTATGATATATAAAAAACGAAATATTTTTTTCGAAAAAAACTCACTTCATTTTCTTTGTTGAAAAGTTAAGGTCTATTTTTTTATAGAAAAAAATTAATAAATATATCAAAATTCATGTTTTTTTGTACTTTTTAAACATAGATTTATATTCATGTAAAAAAACGATATTTCAGTTCAGATTCACATTATGAACATGTTCAGATTAATATTGTGAACCTGTTCACATTCACATTGTAAACATTCTCAGATTTACAGTGTGCATAATAGTAAGTTAGATTCACAGTGTAAATATGAACGGATCAGAGTTTTTCACATTATGAATGTTAAAAATTGAAATATTTATAATTTAGATTCACAATGTAAATCTACACTGTTCGAGGTGTTTTTTTAATCGGTGTTGATGTTTATTAATAGAAATCAAAAATTAATATTTTTGGTATAATTTTTTTTTTTTATAAAAATAAACTTAAATATTGAAAAAACTAACAAAATGAAGTGAGTTTTTTCGAAAAAAAAAATTATTTTTTATATATCAACATTGATCTCTATGGAAAGAGGACAAAAATCGAGAAAAACTGTATAGTTAAAAGATAAATGTTCAGGCCCACCCTAGGACCAGGATAGGTTCAGGCCCACCCTCAATTTTTTTTTTTAAATTAATTTTATTAAATAAATAAAATATCATTTAGGTATATTTAAAAGATAAATGTTATTTTTTTATGTTAAACTCATCATATTCATCTTCATTTGGCTAGCTTTTAAATAGTCTCTCTCTCTCTCTCTCTCTATATATATATATATATATATATATACACACACACACACACTAGGCGAATACCCGCGTGTTGCGCAGAAACACCTATATAGTTGAAGTCTTTACAAATATATGATTTTTTAAATATAACAATAACGTTGTTGTTAAATTTGATATAATAATTTGTATATACTAAATCGATATAATTTATTGATTATTTTGAATTGTATGATAATATATACATTTCTTATAACTTCATAATCTCAATCGTTTGAATGACTTCTACCCGTGAGCTACACATGAATAAAATTAAAAATAATATATGATTTGATGTTATATATAGTTGTTTTTATTGTTAATTAATTTTTTAAAATTTATTTGCTTAATGTTTTAATTTCTATCATTATAATTATTGAAAACATCAAACATTGTTTTTTATTTTAAAATTAACAATATAATCATTTATATAGAGTTGTTTTTAACTATTGTTATTGTAAGTTATTTTAAGCTACTTATTTAGAAAACTTTTAATGATTATAAAAATATATTTAAAAAAATATTTTAGTTAAATTGAAATTACAATTTAGTTTTTTTTTTATCATTACAATTGATCACTTTTAACTATTTACAAAATATTCATTAGTTTTTTTAAATGGAACTGAAATTTATATTTTAGTTGACATTGTAATAAGCAGAAACATCTATATAATTGAAGTCTTTACAAATATATATTTTAAAAATATATAAAACTAATGTTGTTGTTAAATTTGATATAATAGTTCGTATATTAATTTGATATAATATATTGATTATTTTTAGTTATATGATAAGATATAAATTTATTATAACGTCATAATCTCAATCATTTGAATGATTTCTACTCGCGAGTTACACATCAATAAAATTAAATATTATATATGGTTTAATATTATTTATAGTTGCTATTTTTTAACTAATTTTTTATATTTTATTTGCTTAATGTTTTAATTTCTATCATTATAATTATTTAAAACACCAAAAATTATTTTTTTGATTTTAAAGGTAACAATATAATCATTTATATAGAGTTATTTTTAATTATTGTTATTGTAATTTATTTTAAGCTACCTATTTGAAAATTTTTAACGATTATATAAATATATTTATGAAATATTTTAGTTAAACTGATATTACAATTTAGTTTTTGCATTTATCACTATAATTTATTACTTTTAACTATTTACAAAATATTATTTGGTTTTTTTAGTGGAACTGAAATTTATATTTAAGTTGACACTGTAATGTTATATTTAAATTAACAATTTAAGTATTTTATCAAAACTGTTCAAAAATTGTAGCTTTAAACTGATAATGGTTTACATGCAACAACATTTTAAATCTAATAAATTAAGTATAATATGTTAAAATTTAAAGACATAACTTTATAAATAGAAGTAAATATATTATTTTAAAATGGAAATTTAGTCTATTTATGATTACACTTTAGGTTTGATATTTATTTAACCTTATTAACCAACTTACAATCATTATTAGAAAGACACTACAATTTATCACTTTTAACTATTTATAAAATAATCTTTGGGTTGTTTATGTTAAATAAAATTTATATTTAAGTTGAGCCTATAATGTTATATTTTAATTAATAATTTAAGTATTTTATACAAATTATTCAAAAATTATACATTTAAAATGATAATGGTTTACATCCAACAATATATTAAAACTAATAAATTAAGTATAATATTTTAAAAGTTAAAAAACATAATTTTATAAGTAAAATTAAAGATATTATTTTAATATTGAAATTTTGTTTATATATGAATACACTTTAGCTTTGATATTTATTTAACCTAATTACCAAATTATAATTATTATTATAACGAAATTGAAAAATCATGCGACTTTCAAATGAATGTGGTGAAAGGAAAAAAAGAATGGGGGTTTCAAATGCATGAGATTCAAGAAAAAATGCTAGCTTTATAAGTATGTATGACATATATATATATATATATATATATATATATATATATATATATATATATATCCCTATACTAATAAAAGAGTAGCTTTTTTGCTATGTGTCATCATATTAGACATTTTAATTAATGTGTTGCCACTTGTCAATTTATTAGTTTTCCATTTTAAATTTATTAAACGTACTCATTAATGTGATTTTATTTAAAATTTAAAATTTAAAATTATTGTTTTCATTAATTCACAAATAAAAAATATCTAATATATATTAAAAATTAATTTTATATATATATATATATATATATATATATATATATATATATATATATATATATATTTATCTGAATCAATGATTATAATTTCACATAACTAATAAAAATATCTTTTAAATTAAAAATTTATTTAAAATAACTTATTAATAATTTTGAGTTTTTACTATAAAAGTTTGATTAATTTTATAACCGTGGTTCCCACGGGTTATAAACTAATATATATATATATATATATATAT